AGAGATTGGATTGGTGGTTACCAGAGGGAAGAGGGGAGGGAGGAGGGTGAAAGGGATAATTCGGCACATGTGTGTGGTGATGGGTTGTTATTAGTATTTGGGTGGTGAACATGATGTAATCTATGCAGAAATAGAACTATAATGATGTAGACCTGAAATTTATACAATGTTACTGCAATAAACAAAACATTAAAAAAAAAAAAAAGCACTGAACAAGCTGGGAGTCAGAAAATCTGCGGTAGAGAATCATTCTGCCTCTCACTATGTACATAACCTTGAGCAGGTTATTTAACTTCTCATGTTTGCATCTCTAGGGTGGGAATAATAATGGTCCTGTCTACCTGACAGGTCGCTGAAGCTATAAGAAGTGTGAAAACTGGACACAGCATTTGAAAATACTTTGAAAATTGATTCCAAGCAAGCTTTTTCAAAACTGACATTCAAAAAAATATTATCATTTATTACAAGACAATTTGATACTTTGTAGAAAGCAATCCATTATATGTTTGACAATTAGTTTTGGCTCAAACATATCTGGAAATAAAAAGCCTGGATAGGACTCAGATGATAATTAGACTCTCATTCTGCCATCTTTAGCAGAGAAGTACTGCTGAGGCTAGCAGCCATGAACTGACGGTAGCTTTCAACTCCAAAGTCAACAAAAATTTTTTATGGCTTCATACTATACCTGAAATCCCAACATTACTAATTTATTCCCTGGAGTTAAACATCGTCTTTATTATTTGAGTTCTATTTCAAAGAAAATAGAGTAATAGCACGGTACATGTGGCTTGGATTTGAATTCCAGTTTTGCGATTTAGTGGCTCTATGACTTTCACAGATTTTCCTAATTTGTAAAATAGATGTAACGATAGTATCTTCTTCCTAAAGTTATCATGAGGACAAAATAAGATAATGTATAAGATATGTATGTAAGCATTTCAGTATGATACCCGGCCAATGCCAATCTCTCAATAAATGTTAGATATTTTTTAAGTCATTATAAAATCCCTAATAACATAGTGAGGAGGATAGATGAAATAGAAAACAAAGATATAATACAGAGAATCAACAATTCCAAAAGACTGTTCTTGGAAAAAGATTAATAAAATAACCAAACCTATGGGGAAATCAATCAAGAAAAAATAGAGGAAGAACACACAAGAAATGCTAGAAATAAAAGAGGGATATAACAGCAGATACAGCATAGATTAAAATTTAATAAGAAAATATTATTAATACTTAATGCCAATAAGTTTGAAAACTTAGAAAAAATAGATACATATCCAGAGAAAAGTTATAAGTTGCCAATCCTGGGAGGAAGAAGAAAGTTAGACTATTCCTATAATCATTAAAAAAACTGAATCAGTAATTTCAAATCTTCTCATAACAGGTTCAGATAATTTTATAATGAGTTATACCAAAGTTTCAGGGAACACATAATACCCATCCTATTCGACCTAGAGAATAGAAAAAGAGGTAATACTCCCCAAACACATTTTGATATCAGAACCAGCAAGAGGAATATGAGAAAATAAAGTTGCAGGTTAAGCTCACTAATAAACATAGATTAACTAATCCTTCCTAAACCAAAATTTGGAAAACCAAGTCCATCAAAATAAAAAAATACAATATATAGGAATATGTATAAAATATATGTTTATCCAAGAAATAAAAGGTTGAAACATTTTCAATCTATTGATGTAATTTAATAAATTAAAGAAGACAAATCAGATGGTCATCTCAAAAGATGCAGATAAAGCAGTTAATAAAATTTGACAACTTTAGCAAAATAGGAATTGAAGGTATTTTCCTTAACTTGATAAAGCATGTCTACTAAAAATCATGGTAATGGTGAAAAATTAGAAGCGTTCCATTTAACTTCAGGAATAAAGTGAGGATATCTACTGTTACTACTTTTACTCAACAATGTACGAGTGATCTTAGCTGGAACAGTAAGGCAAGATAAAAGAAGATGGAAATATACGGAAAGGAAGTGTATTAGTCTGCTCGGGCTGCTGTAACAAAATATCATAAACTGGGTGGTATAAACAACAGACATTTATTTCTCACAGTTCTGGAGGCTGAGAAGTCCAAGATCAAGGTGCTAGCCAATTCGGTTCCTGCTGAGGACTCGTTTCCTGGACTGCAAATGGCCATCTGTGTCCTCCCACGGTAGAAAGAGAGAGAGCAAGCTCTCTAGTCTCTTCTTATAAGAGTACTAATCCCATCATGAGGACCCCCCTTAATAACCTCATCTAAACCAAATTGCCTCCCAAAGACCCCATCCCCAAATACCATCACATTGGGAGTTAGAGCTTCAACATACATGTTTGGTGGGGGAGGGGGACACAGCACAGTCCATAGCAAGAAGATATCAAAACATCTGCAAATGGTAGATTTTCTACATAGAAAACCAAAATGGATCTACAGACAAATACTGTTGACAACTGTGATTAGCAAAATGGCAGTCACATTTTATTCCACCAGAAACAAAATGACAATAAATATTTTGAAATATGGAATTTGCAATAGCAAAATAGAATAAATCTTAGAAAGTATGTGTAAGAATTCATAAATAAAATTAGAAAACTTTATTAAATAACATTAAGGAAGGTCTACATAAATAGAGAAAAGACAAATGGACCAACTGCACAGAATAGGGAGCCCAGAAACAGACCCACGTGTATAAAAGAACATTACATATATGACAAAGTGGCATCATAAATCAATGGGGAGAGAACATATTACTTAGTAGATGGTGCTGGGAAAACTAATTTAGTGTAGGAAAGAAAATAAATGTGGATTCCTATATAACACTACTTACTATAGATGGATTAGAACTACAGGTAAACTATAGATGGATTAAAAATCTAACTGTGAAAGTTACACTATAAAATTCTTAAAAAGAAACACAGAAAAATGAATTTGTGACTTAGTAGTTTAGTTTTCTATTGATGCTGTAACAAATTTAGTGGCTTACACAACACAAATTTATAGTCAGAAGTCTTAAAAAAGGTGCCGGCAGGGCTGTGTTCCTTCTGGAGCCTCTAGGGTAGAATCCCTTTCCTTGCCTTTTCCAGCTTCTAGAGGCCACCTGCATTCCTTGGCTTGTGGTGCCTTCTTCCAACATCAAAGACAACAGCATAGCATCCTTCAAATCTCGCTCTCTCTCAGCTCTGCTTCTGTCATTACATCTCCTTCCTTGACTCTCACTCTCCTGCTTCCTTCTTTCCTTATAAAGACCCTTGTGATTACGTTGTGCTAAGCCAGATAATTGAGGATAATCTCCCCATCTCAAGATCCTTAACTTAATCACATCTGAAAAGTTGTTTGCCATGTGAGGTAACATATTCATATGTTCTGGGAATTAGGATATAGACATCTTTGGGGACCATTATTCTATCTACCACACTTAGGAACAGGAAAGGGCTTCCTGGACCATATTTCAAAAAGTCAAATCTTAAGGAAAAAAGAGAATTGATTTGATTACATCAAAATAAAGAACTTCTGAAAGAAGTTGAAGAAGACAAAAATAAATGGAAGGATATTCCATGATCATAGATTGGAAGAATTAACATTGTTAAAATGTCCACCCTACTCAAAACAATCTACAGATTCAATGCAATCTCTATCAAAATTCCAATCACATTTTTCAAAGAAATAGAGAAAACAATCCTAAACTTTGTATAGAACCACAAAAGACCCTGAAGAGCCAGAGCAATCTTGAGAAAGAAGAATAAAGCTGGAGACATCATACTTCCTGATTTCAAACTGTGTTACAAAGCTCTAGTAATCAAAACAGTATGGTATTGGCATAAAAACAGATACATAGACCAATAGAATAGAATAGAGAGCCCAGAAATAAGCCCATGTATATATGGTCAATTAATTTATAACAAAGGAGCCAAGAATATACAATAGGAAAATGATAGTCTCTTCAGCAAATTGTGTTGGGAACATTGGACAGCCACATGCAAAAGAATTAAACTAGACCCCTATCTTACACTATACACTAAAAACAACTCAAAACAGATTAAAGACTTGAATGTAAGATCAGAAACCATAAAACTCCTACAAGAAAACGTAGCGGGTAATCTTCTTGACATCAGTCTTGGCGATGACTTTTTGGATTTGACCACAAAAGCAAAAATAAACAAGCAGGACTATATCAAACTATAAAGCTCTACACAGCAAAGGAAACCATCGACAAAGTTACAAGGCAACCTACTGAATAGGAGAAAATATTTGCAAGTCAAATATCTGATAAGGGGTTAATATCCAATATATACAAGGAACCCATACAACTCACTTAAAAAAACAATTTGATTAAAAAATAGGCAAAGGAACTGAATAGACATTTTTCCAATGAAGACATGCAAATGGCTAACAGGTACATGAGAACATGCTCAACATCACTAATCCCCAGGGAAATGCAAATCAAAATCATGATGAGATATCACCAGACACCTGATAGAATGGCTACCATCAAAAAGCCAAGAGATAACTGTTGGCAAGGATGTGGAGAAAAAGGAAACCTTGTGCACTGTTGGTGGACATGTAAATTGGTACAACCACTATGGAACAATGTAGAGGTTCCTCAAAAAATTCAAAATAGAACTACGATAAGATCCAGCAATTCCACTTCTGGGTATATATCTGAAGGAAACAAAATCACTATCTCAAAGAGATATTTGCACCCCCATGTTCATTACAGCATTATTTACAATAACCAAGACATGGAAACAACTTAAGTGTCCACTTACAGATGAATGGACAAATAAAATGTGGTGGATATATACAATGGAATATTATTCAGTCATAAAAAAGAGCAAAATCCTGCCATTTGCAACATGGATGACTCTTTAGGGCATGATACTAAATAAAATAAGTCAGATAGAGAAAGACAAATACTGTATGATCTCACTTATATATGGAATCAAAAAAACTGAACTCATGGAAACAGAAAACAGATTGGTGCTTGCCAGAGCTGGGGGGTGATGGTTGGGGGAAATGAGTGAAGAGGGTTAAAAGGTACAAACTTCTAGTTATAAGATAAATAAGTTCTAAAGATGTAATGTACAGCATGGTGACTATAGTTATAATACTGTATTGTATATTTGAAAGTTGCTAAGAGAGAAGATCTTACTTCTCATCACAAGAAAAAATATTGTAACTATGTGAGGTGATGGATGTTAACTAAACTTACTGTGGTGATCATTTCACAATATATACATATATCAAAAGGATTATGTTGTACACCTAAAACTAATACAAAGTTATATGTCAATTATATCTCAATAAGACTGGAAAGTAAATAAAGAACTTTTGTTCAGCAAAGGACACTGTGGAGAAAGTTGGTAGACATAAGATAGAAAAGAAGACATTTGCAGTGTTTAAAACTGACAAGGGATTAATATCTAGAATATATAAGAATGTCTTATAAATCAATAAGAAAAAAACAGCACCCTAAGGGGAAAATGTTTACCACATTGGAGCAGGAAATTGACACAAAAGAAAACCCAAAAGGCAAATAAGTATGTCTAGAGACTCGTAAAGCATTAGTGATCAGGAAAAGCATATTAAATAAAGTAATATCCTCTTATACCTATAGGATTGGAAAGTTAGTTAATGCAACAGAATGATACGGATTGGAAACTCATGCACTGCAGCCATTCTGGAGAAAAATCTGTCAGAATGCAGTCATGTTAAGCATATGCATATTCTATGACATGACATTTCTGCGGCTGAGTGAATGGCCCCCAAAGAAATTCACCTACACACACTTGTACGAGATTGTTTATGGAACCATTGTTTGTGTGTGTGTAAGGGAGGTGGAGTGAGTTGAAGGTAATCTGGGTACTCATAACTAGAGGAGTGAATAGGTAAAATAAGGTGGCTTCACATGTTGGAGTTCTATGCAGCAGTTAGCAAGAACTGACTAGAGGGGACGGCCCAGTGGTGCAAGCAGTTAAGTGCGTGCACTCTGCTGCAGCAGCCCAGGGTTCAAAGGTTCGGATCCCGGGCACACACTGTTGCACTGCTTGGCAAGCCATGCTTTGGCGGCATCCCATATAAAGCAGAGGAAGATGGGCATAGATGTTAGCCCAGGGCCAGTCTTCCTCAGCAAAAAAAGAGGCGGATTGGCAGATGTTAGCACAGGGCTGATCTTCCTCACACACACACAAAAAGAACTGACTAGACATGTATATAAGCACTTAAAAGTATCTGAAAAACAGGACTGAGAAGAAAAGAGTATGAAATGATATTATACAACAACATTTACAAAAATTACAATACATGCAAAGTATATGTTACAAAAACACATATGGACCAAAAGATTCACATCAACCAAATTAGAATGTTTGTCTATGAGGGGGGAATGAGGGAGGAGGGGAGGGAGGAAGGGATGAGGGAAGGAAAGAATAAAGGAAGGAAGGAGGGAAGGAAGGAAGGAAGGAAGGAAGGAAGGAAGGAAGGAAGGAAGGAAGGAAGGAAAAGAGAGAGAGGGAGAGGGATAGAGGAATGAAGGAAGCATGTTCAAGGATCCAAACACTCAATATTGTAAATACGTCCATTCTCTCCAAATTGATTTACGGAGTCGATAAAATTCTAATAGAAATTCTTACAGGGTTCTTAGTGACTCGACAAATTGATCCTAAAATTTATGTAGAAGAACAAAAGGTTAAGAATAGTCACTATACTCCTAGGAAGAATAACAAGGCAAGGAGACTACAAAAGTCATGACTTATTGCAAAGCTTTAATAGTTCAGAACGTCATCTTGGCACGTGTAGCAAACAGACCCATGGAATATAATGTAGAACCCAGAGTGGAATATAACATATCACGTCACATATATGGAAACCTGATATACGACGGGAGTGTGGGGCAGTCTACTCAATAGACAGTAAAGAAGGAAGGCACTTGATTATCCATTTGAAAAAAATATGGATTCCTTCCTGTGCCACATATAAAAACCAATTATAGGTGTATTAAAGACTTAAGTGTGAAAACAAAACTTGAAAAATTTTATGAGACAAAATAGAATATTTTGATGATCTTGATGTTGGGCATGATTCCTTAAATAAGACGAAAAAGGTAACTATAACAAAAAAAATTGGTAATTTTGATTGCATTAAAATTTAAAACTTCTGTTTATCAAAGGGCTTCATAAAGAAAATAAAAAGACATTTATCACAGGTAAAAACAACAAAGTGTTAGTATCCGGAATATAGTTTAAAGGAAAAAAAAGATCTTATATCAATGAGCAGAAGACAAAAATTCCAGAGGAAGACTAACCAAAAGGCGTGAATTCAAAAAAGGAAATATGAATGGCCAATAAACATATGAAAAGGTGTTCAGGCTCATTAGTACCCAGAGAAGCACAAATTAAAATCCTAACGATGTACTATTTCATGCACATCAGATTGGCACACGTTCTAAAGTCTGGTAACACCAAATGTTGGCGAGCATGTAGGACAGCCTGATCTTTCATATATTTGTGATGGGAATGTACATTCGTACAACCACTTTGGAAAGCAATTTGGCATTAGGAAGTAAAATCGACGGTGGGCTTACCCCATGACCCTACCCTTTCACACATATTTTGTGCCCTAGAGAAATTTTGGCATGTGTACGCCAAGAGTCAGGTAGGAGAAATGCTCTCAGAACCACAGCTCATGCTAGCAGAGAAACCAGAAAGGGTTCAGTGTCCATAAACAGTAGAATGGGTGATAAGCTGGGAAGCAGCCATTGCGTAAAAGGCTCTACAGTCACACTACGTTCAAATACATTCATAATGTATACCACATAGATTAGCATGGAAGAATCTTAAAATCACACTGAGTGGAAAAAGCAAGATGCAGACAATCACATTACTATTTTATTTATGTAAATTGTAAAAACATAGATGTAACAATGCTTGTTCAGAGATACTTACATATGTAACAAAGTGTACAACAAAATAAAAGACAATTATACACATCAGAAAGAAGGGAGAATACTTCAACTGGGGATGTGGAAAAGATATGGAGAGCCTTCTATTTTTTTTTCTCTTTTATTTCTTAAGCTGCATGCTATGTAGATGGATGTGCATTTATTTTTCTTTATGCTGTATATAATAAACATATATACACATATACACACACATAAGAATGCATATATAAATATATGTTATGTTCATTCACATATTATATTCATTACATTCATTCTTTTGTATATATGTAATATTTCATAGTAAAACTAAAAGAAAGAAAAAAGGGAAGCTTCCAGTTACCACATGAAAGGTTTCCAATATGAGCTATGACAGTTGATGCTCCAACCCTTTATTTCTTCCCCAAGACTAGAATTCACCCTACCCTGTGGCTTTATGCAAAAATAATTCCAAAAGGGCTGTGGTTGGGAATACACACATTTACACAGTTTCACAAAGACACACACAAACACAAAAACACACAGCTTGCAACCACAGTGGTCACCCTACTTTCCCTTTCTCTATCTCCACTGCTGAGACTTGCAAATGAGCAGGCCTCCATCATTGATGGAGTGGGGACCGTGGGGAACAAAGCCAGCCAAAATGCTAAACCATTTCAATCTCCTTCTAGTCTTGGAGGAGGAGAGGGCTCAGGCACTGCCAGGGGAAACTTGGCAGAGCTTGTGGGGTTTTCATGCAGGAAGGAGCTGTTTAAGATCCCTAGGGAATGCTGGTCTGTGGAGAAGGCATGTGTGGAGCTGACCTTCTGAGAGTGGTATCAGGCGTGTCAAATGCACTCACTGTTCTGAGATTCCTTCTTCCCTCTGACGTTGCTAAAAATGGAATCAGCTGAAAACAGTATGTGATCATGTACGGTAATTTGCATAAAGCTTGTCAAGTGTAACATTTAGCCAGAAACATGGTATGGGCTGGGATCAAAATATTATTTTTAAGATGAAATGGAGGAGCATTTTGGCAAGCCAGTACAACCTCAGAAGACTATCTAACCCTTTTAAAACTTTGCTTTCTGCCAAGATACCTCT